AATGGATGAACTCTCACCTTGCCCCACACCTGTAAAGCTTTGAGTTTGAGAATATGGGAAATGTCGCCTGGAGTTGGGGGACTTGGGGTGGTGCAGGTGAGGGCAGGCAAGCGAACGAACATAAGATGGGTGTGGAGAGGAGGAAATAGACCAGGGGACAACCGAATGCAATCCGGGAACCAGTAGACCAGGGGACAAAAGTAAGAACAGGGGTTAGGAGCAATACGGATATTTATGGCACCTTCGTTCGTCACACTCAGAAACTCATCGACCAGCAACGATGATTTCCGTGACTCGTTTGTTGAGACTGAGGTGATATGAAATGTATTGTGCGGTTCGTCCGTAAAGCTGCACTTACACTGTAACCATCAACTACTCAGCTGCCCGCCGTGTTCAGTCTATCCGCTCACCTGTATAAATCCTCCTTAGCTTCTTCCTGCTGTTCGCTCAGAACCAGCAGCACCCGGAGGAGAAAGGCTGCCGGACTCCAGGCATCGCTCCAATCATTTTAAGGATGTTTATTGGTCCCCCAAAAACAATGAAAACCTGGGCATTATCACCACTCAGTAAAATCCCCACGGGCCAAACTTGAAGATTGGACTTTATGCTGCTAACACTTAGCTTTCGTCAACAACTCAGAGGCGGAAGTCGGAGCTCCGTGCAACGCAAATAATGTTCCGGCCGGAACACGGTGCACTAAATAAAACATAAATTAACAAAGCTTCGAGGCAGGTACATTTTCCTCGAGGAATTTTAATTATCGAGGTACTCGAATCACTCAAGGAATCGTTTCAGCCCTAGTGTAAACCTCAATGTGTGTGTGCTGCAGTTCCTGAAAGGCTTTTGTCCTGGATGTTCTAAAGGTTTCAGTCCGCGTGGAGACAGAGGAGGACGAGGCGGAGGTCGTGGAGGGTTCAGAGGTGGCTTCGGTGACCAGGGGAGCCGAGGAGGAAGAGGTGAGAAAGCATAGTCTATTTTGTTTTGATTTGTTGCTGATTAATGTTAAAAACCAAATGTTTAAATCTCATGAGCAGAGATTGTCTTTCATGGTGAAAGATTTTGTCCAACAGAGCCAATAATGGCTCAAACACATCGGGTGTCTGTTCCCACTTTCCAGCTGACTGGAACATAAACAAGATGCAGCCCCTGCTGGTGTTGAGCACTTTATGCCTTCTGTCTGAGTTGTTCTTGATCCAACACACCTCAGTCACATGATGGGTCCCCTCAATCATATCCGAGTTCTGCTAATGGCTTCTATGGACCAGGGGTGAAGTTGGAGAACTGGAGGCTGGTGACGGACCTGTCTGCTTTACATCTGGCAGGTCTGAAACGCTGCATCCCAAATTCTTTCTGACGCCAGGCTCTGATGTTTGTCTTTTAGGTGGAGGCTTTAGGTCCCCAGACGGTGGAGGATTTCGAGGCAGAGGTGGCGGGAGAGGCACCCCAAGAGGAAGAGGAGGCAGAGGAGGAAGGGGCGGTGGCAGAGGAGGTTTAGGAGGAGGGAAAAGAGTTCTGATCGAGCCTCACAGACATGAAGGTTATTATCAAACATTAGTCAAGCAGATTTTTAGCAGTAAAAGTTTTTTTTTTTAATAAAGGTTTTGTTGGCTCTAGTGGCCTTTATTTGAAAATAGTTTGACAGGAAAGAGAGTTATGAGAGAGAAGGGGGGGGGGAAGACATGCGGCAAATGTCACCAGGCTGGGAATCGAACCTGCAACCATCGGCATGAGGACTAAGGCCTCAATACGTGGGTTGTGCTTCGCCCCTGCGCCACTGTAGCACCCAGCAGTAAAAGTTTTTAATATACTGTCTGATATGCTAAGCATGAAGTCACATGTTGCTGTGAGTCCCCACATTTTAATTTTAATCAGGAGTGTGCCGATAAATCGGCCCGATTTCCTCGCTTGTGTCCTTGACGTCTGCAGGTGCTCGTTAACACTCTTGTCAACTTAGCAACTTTGTTACTATATTGTGACTTTTCAGATTGTCTCTGGGGAACTCCAATCGCTGCAGCCCTGGTGTGAATCAGTTTAGCTTCCATTCTTAAAATTTGACTGAACATGGGAAGTAGAGTAGAAATAAAAACAAAATGCCGTTGCATATTTAGAATGTTTCAGTGTCTGAACTTTCAAATTTGAATAGCCATCAGTAAATTGGTGTGTGTGTGTGTGTGTGTGTGTTAGGAGTGTTTATCTGCAGAGGGAAGGAGGACGCCTTGGTCACCAAGAACTTGGTGGTGGGAGAATCTGTGTACGGAGAGAAGAGAATGAGTGTGGAGGTAAAGTGTCGCTTCAGTGGCTGATTTGTTTGCTGATCAGTATATATTGTCCCAATAACTAGGTGTGTTTTTTGTCAGGATGGAGAGACCAAGATTGAGTACAGAGCCTGGAATCCTTTCCGCTCAAAGCTGGCAGCAGCTATACTAGGAGGAATTGACAAGATCCACATCAAACCTGGAGCTAAGGTCATGTACCTGGGGGCCGCCTCTGGGACCACCGTGTCCCACGTCTCAGACATTGTTGGACCGGTGAGTATGGCTCTCCAGTTTTATTTCTCCTTTCAAGCATCATCTGAGGGCAGATGATGTGCATTTGGTTAGGACCCTTTAATGCTCTTAACATGCTGGGCTTTAACATGCCTCATATGGCTCCATGGTGATTTCTTGTTTTTTTCAAGAGCTGCTTCTCTGTTTGCCTGATGGGTTCAACCATAAGCCAGGACACATACAGGACAAATCTGTCTCTGTCTGAAGACACTTTCTGGACTACACTAAGGCTTCTTGTTTCTGACTTGGGATTTAAGCAGAGTGATGCGGCCTTGGGAACGTTTTAAGTTTACCCTTAAATAGACTTCCTCTTAGTTGCCAGCTAGATGTTCTGTTCCAGTATTCCACCTTTCATGAAGCTGATTTTGATTTGTTGCTTCTTGCATAGCTCTAAATTGCTGTTCCTGATTTTTAATAACAATTTTATTTTCTATCAGAAAATGTTGTTTGATTGGCTATTAAAGCCAGTCACCCATAGATTGATTAGTGCATCTCTAGTTTTCATCAAGTACTTCATTTAGCTGTGTTAAGGGTTTAAATCTTCCCCAATTGCTCCGGTCTGCCCATTGTCTATGTAATGTGGCTGTTCCACGTTATGAAGCTTATAGAAAATTGCCTGCACTGTAAACAACCATTCTCTACTGTAGAGAGAGAAATGCTGAGCCAAACGAGGCGGCGAATAGTAGTGATGGGCAGATGAGGCCTCATTGGGTGTGTGGCACATTTTCCAAACTGTGCTAAGACTGTGTTGCTTTGTCACTTACAGTGACATCTGCTGGATTTAGAAAGTTATTGCAGGCAAATTCAGTAAAGACGGGAGTGTTAACCCGTTCCTCCTCCTCTTGCCGGGCACAATGATGCCTCAGCATTATGGAAGTGCTCCAGTTACAGTAAGACAAAACTTGGGAGCAAATCCTACATTTTTCACCTTCAATGTAAATAAAAGTTAATCCATGTAAACTAACTCAGCTATCCCTTGGAAAGGAATTTGAATAATCCGAAAGAGAAATGATCAAAAGTGGAAATGAGGACGTAATAATTACTTTCTGTGATAAGATCAAAATGATCAAACTTGGGAGAAAACTTCCTCTTCCTCTGTTGATTCATGCCAGTATTCAAATACGAGCCAAAAACCAACGCAAAGCAAAGAACACAAAGTATCTCCATTCAACAAAACCCACAAACATGTAAACAGTTTCTTTCTCATCAACACAATTTGGTTGCGGTCACATCCAAACAACACCGGAGCTGGATCGGTCACGTGGTTTTCCTTTAAGTGATACACGCACCGACATGGGGTTTCATCTTGTTTGCTCGGCGCATGTGCCAAGGTTTCTGTGTCGTCTGGCCAATCGCTAGCGGATAGTGTTAATTTAACCCTCTTACAACCAACCTGTCAGCGCCGACAGGATTCGGCTTGTGTACTTCCCATTACCGTAATTTCTGAACAGTTCAACATATCAAAAAATTCTAAAAGTGCAGAAAAGCTGAGACATTGCGCTTTCAGGGCATATATGATACATTACGGTAGCCACCCGGGAAAGTTTGATATGAGCTTGACCAATCACAAGAAAGATTCTCCGTTGTGTCATATTTGTCACCCAACCTACTCTGTATCGTAACTCCTGAACAGTTGGTCGCATTCAAAAAATTCAAAAAGTATTAGTGCATAAAATAAGCTTTCCAACGATGTATCACATGTGCATGTTGCAGCAGATATTAGAGTAAATATTTTCGTTACGGAATTTCCCTGCGGAGCTCCGTGTTGTATCAACGGAGTAGCGGTGCGAGAGAGAGAGAGAAAACGGCAGAGGACGAGTTGAAATCGCACATAAAATTATGGAAATGTCTAAAAGAAAATCCACCAGACTGATAAAGCATTCCAGAAGGCTGATATCTGAAGACAGTGAACATGAGAGACATATAGCCAGGTTTTGTATAATATTTGTACAAGCTAACGTTAGTCATATGAAAGCTGCACAGCTATTGGCTAACTGTTAGCTCCATCTTGATTCCTGCATAATTTGTNCAATAATTATTTATTATGCTGAAAATNANATCGTGGTCTTCCAAAAATAATGTCTTAAGTAATATTTTTACCTAAAGTGATTTTGGCAAAAAGAAAAAAAAAAAAAAACACCAACACTTTTTTTCTCTGCCAAAAGATGAATTGTGAAAACAACAACAAATCAACCAAGTGAGGGATTGGTGACCTGTCCAGTGTGTCGCCTCTTGTTCTTGACCACTGGAGAAGGGTACCAGGACCCTTTCAACCTGAAGTCTGATAGATAAAGTATGGATGGATCCAGAGTGGGATTTTGTCTGCAGCTGGAGAGGAACTGCTTTAGAGCCTACCACAAAAAATGAAAACGCCTGAAATAATTTAATAAAAAACAGGCATAAAAACTTGTAAATTGGAGGCCAGGCTTCACAGTTTTCTCTGCATTTATGTAATATAGTTGAAAGTTGAAATTGTTCATCTGAAATTGTTTGCCCCTGTCATCAGAAAGTTTTTGTTCAGTAATAAACCTGAAAATTTCAATTCCGATTTTTGTTTTGTCTTTAAACTGTTTATTCTCAATTTTTAATAGACAGAAATGTTAAATAACTATCAAATACTGAAAGCTGAGGTTGTTCTGGAAAAAAGAGCAAAAATTCAGACTAATTGCACATTTTTTGAGAATTTTACAGCCATAAAATCAGAAAAATACCAGGCGGCCCAGTTACAATTATGGTCTTAAGAGGGTTAANTATTTTCTATTCTTTTCTTTCCTGCAAGTGTCATTTAAAAATAGGTTTTCCACCTTAAAAATATCACCTTACATGTTTCAGATAATCAGGCTAATTTTCATTAGCTTTTCTAATAGAAAAGTTGAGTAAATACAAATGAAGATTACCTTACTGTACTAACATTATACCATATTTAGGGAAAAAGTTAACCAATTACTGCCCAAATGGGTACCTGGCAGTTAGTCTTATATATTACTGTGGATGAATATTGGCCTTCTCTTCTGTAGAGAATGTAAATGTGTGCTTTCGATAATGCCCAGCTGCTACATAACTCAAGTTCTTTTCTTTTTCACCTAGCAGAAAAAAGAATGTTCTTTTGTGGACAATGATGAAGTGATACTGATAGTTAAGACACAAACTGACATTGTTCTCAGGATGTTCTGGTACAGAGCAAAATTCATGGTTCTGTCAATGACGACAAATCATCCAGATCCCATCACACTATAATCCCCATGTTTGATTGCAGTTGTAATGTAGTGTTTTTTTCTGAAAAACTTTAAGTATTAATTCGACGTGTAATTGAATGGATACCTTGTCTCTTTAATCCTCAGAGTATTTCACCAAAGGTCTCAGTGATCTTAAGATGTTCTTGGGAAAAGTCACACGGACTGTGGTGTTATTTGGAACACCACAGCCATTACAGCCATTAACTGAGGGTTCTTTATGACCCTTTGGTTGAGTTGTCCATATGTTTTTGGAGTTCCATTCCCTGGAAGTTTTAATTTCATTCCAACTTGTGGACAATGGTTGTCACCTTGGTTTGTTGGATTTCAAAAGCCAAAGAAATACTGTTGTAACCCTTTCCATATTGATAGATATTAACATTTATTTTTTTCTGTTCCTATATTTATTTTGATCAGAGCATGTTATGTTGGTTTTTGACTTTTATTAACTTATTCTATAGTTATACTGGTTTTATTTATGTCATTGATTCTATAAGTCAGGCTTAAAGCAACCAGTTTAAAATTTAAGGGGGAGGAAATAGCTTTTTCCCAAATAAATCAAATAATTTCTTGAAAACTCGAAAAAGTGTAAAGTATTTACAGTTTATTTAATAACATATTGATAAACAATTTTGCAGTGTTTAGGTGGAGCCTTATTGTAAAGTGGAACCCGAGCTCAGACCAATACCTGGTAGAGAGTTTTCTCTGACACCAATTATTGGTGATGGTAGGTGATGTAATCCAATTACAATGGCAACAAAGCAATCAGATTACTGTTACTTTGCACACGCAAACTGCAGGAGAATGTATTTCTTTTTAATTATTGTGTGTTATTGTTGTATTTTACATCTATTCAACTGTAGATGTACAATATCAAATGTAACAATTTTGTATGGTTGAATTAGTCAAAAAGATGGTTTAACAGAAAAAAAGACCTGATTTTCTTAAAATGTAGTGGATTATTCAGAGAATATGTTTAAATATTTAACAAACGTCTTTGAAAGAGTTGCATTTTTGGTGATGCGCTAAAGCTAATAGGGTGAAATATCAAGTGTAAGATGGTTTCATTTGATAAAATTTTATATCATGGAAAATGCAGAAAAAATAGAATTAGGCTTAAAAATGCATTAACAGTGTATTCATGTGCATTGTTTTTTGAAAAGTAACTAAGTAATTAATCAACAATTACTTTTGAAAACAATAAAGTAACTGAGTTACTATTTTGGGGGAAGTAATGGGTAACTAATTACTATTTCCAACTAACTTGACCAACACTGGTCATACTAATGTGACATAGTAGCTGTTGTGGTTTGATTTACAAATGTTTTCCTAACATTAAAAGTATTAAAGCAATTAAAGGCCATATTCCCCTCAGGAAGACCAGAAAACTGAAATTATCCTGCTTGTTAAACCTGCCACTTAATTTAACTGGAATTATTATATGATCCCTGGGAACCCTGGGCTAATTGTTTCTCTCTGTGCCTTCCCCTTCTTCCTTCTGCCTTCTGCTTCGTTTGTGGTGACAGAAAAAAGCTGTTCCATCAGCTCTGGTAAATAGCTTCATCAGAAAGAAGCTGTGAGCATCATCTGCTTTACAGACTGTGACTGTTTTTCTCCATCCTGCAATTGATGCAAAGTTCTCAACATATTCCATGTGGACCAATGGTTTTCAAGAAACTGTGCTTTAGTTTTGTTCTTTTCACCAATGCCTTTTCATATGATGATTTCTGTAATTTGAATACCTTTTGCAGGTTATATGGGCTATGTATGATATTTTAATTTACAGCCATGATGTCTAAAGACTTAATCACAGTCAAATGTTTTTGAATAAAAGTC